GTACCTACATAAAATACCTAAATGATCGCAGCAACATTCTGACCTTGCCAGATACTTTAGCTACACAATGCAGCAGTCGCTATAATGCCTACACTATTACAGATTGAAAGTAATGCGTATAGATCAAAGCAGCCTGACTCAAATGAAAATTTGCGTCCTAAAAATTCTTCTATTCGAAAACATTCCATGCCTTATACAAATCCATCAAAATGTGTAAACTTTCAATCCAAATAACTGTCGAAAAATTACCATCATAATTAATAAAGTGGATAGTCAAATTTCAGTTATTTTTCTGATCCGGATTACAATCGAATCGCAGAATATTTGAGAGAAGCAATACGCAACAATAACGTTAAAGAATATCCATACGATTGGGAAAATAACGAAAAAACTGCTTTATCATAATTAATAAAGTGGATTCGTAATAGACAAAAATCCGGTTTTTTCAAAAAATTGAGTGGACATAGTCGAGTATGAAGAGAATAAAGTGTTTTCTATTGTTCTTCGCATTACTGCTGTATCATTCAATGAAATCCATTTCCCTTCAGAATATTTTATGATCAGTTTTGCATGACATAAATGATTGTTAGTCTGACTGGCAGCAGATCAAGCACAAATTGAGATGCGTACAATGAGCAGTATTTCGTTAGTGAACAATAAATCTCATTTTCCACTGACATTGAAACACAGCAACAGATCGCCACCAAACTGTAGTAGCATGGCACGTAGTCAATATTACATGAAACTTAAGCATTAATTTCATTGTTGCATTAATTCCTTGATAGAGGAAAGCTTGAAGCACGAGTTTTTTCATTAGTTTTCCCACAGGAAGCTTCATTATATTTTCACTGAGCGTTTGATAACATAACATTTGATAACAACGAGATGCTCGAATGTTTTTGTTACTTCGGACACAATACGAATAGTTCTTCTTTACTGAAGCGTCTCATATCCAATAAGTGATAGGTAATCAATTGTCAGATGCTCTCACAGATAATTGGTCAGAGCAGTGCATGCTTCATATCCCCGCGCCCAAACAATGCAGACATTTTGAAACTGTTAATCGCTCGTCGTTTTCAATTTCTGCATCCAACGATTCGAAAAGACTTAGCCGTTCAGCCGGTTCATATCAGGGACAAGGGCAAAGCCATGGCAAGGCGGACCGTGCTTATGCAGGACGAAAAATGTGGATCAGCTCTCACACTTACAATTAGTTCTGAAGCACCCTAGTCACATGAATGGATATCATTACAGGAGTTGATCTGATCAATATGCTTAGAATGTAAAGTACTCCAAGTTATTCAAGACTTGACTGGCGCATTTGAAGCGAGGCTGAATCACACATCTTTTAGCTCTTTTCATCTGCTTCTATCAGTCTATCTTCGATTCAAAGCAATTTGGAATTTGACAGGGACAGCCACGACTCAACAAAACAGCCACGGACAAATTCCGTAATAGCCAAATTATTTTAGCTGTTGCAGATTTTATCGAGCATTTTTCGACACTCCCTAAACTTATACAAATTCAGCTAAGGTTTGCTATCCAATTACTGATTTTA